GGCATTTATTTAAATACTAAATCCAAAGTACAATTTAACTATTAAATTTAAATTATCAATTTACTCAATTTCAGACCATTTGAAATTCAAATACATAAGACTACAAACAAACAATCAAAATTTTGTGAAGGCTAATGAAAGCTAACTAAACGCAATAAAAATTTTTGTGGTGATATTTTGTGTGTAGGCCTATGATAGCGTTCTAAACTTATTGTTACGACAGCGGGGGTCACGTGACTCTAGTAACAAGTCATGAACTTCTAGAAGGATCCTGTCCCTTCCTGAACTCTCGAGAGGCTACTAGATATGCGGTAGTCTTGTATATATAAGCCGTCATGAACTGGCGGCAACAATGTGTAATTGACAGTTGAGTCGAGCACGTGAGACGTTCGTTGTGAATTATAGCGTTTGTTATAGCGCGACTGTGGAAATTAAGAGTATTGCAAATTTGTATTCAGAAAGAATAAATCAGTTTTACTTAAGAAAGGACGTGTGTCGCTAAAGTTTCATTGGAAAGAAATTATACGGAAAATTAACTAACGACCGGAGGCGAAACATTATCATACAATGTGTGACGTGTGTGTGTCATTTTATGTGAAGTCTAACTAACTAAAGCTAGCTAAACTTGAAATTTTCTAAGTTCGTCTGTTAAACTGTTTTATATCTTGTTTTGTATTTCTCCACAAATAAAAAAATTCACCAATGAAACGTTATTATTTTTCATCTTTTAAAAATGGTTTAACTTTAACATAAGAGATATGTTTCTAATAAATTATTTTAAAATAACTTGAAAATTAATATCAGGTTATATATGTCACTTTCAACTTAACAATTCGCATGTAAACCTGTCTCAGGTTCTAATATTTGACGACACCGGTGTTTAATCAGTAGATCGTGGAATAAACGTGTGAGAAGTAGGTATTGTTCTAATAACATGCGTTTTTGTCACTTTTAATTCGGATTAAGATTAAAAATAAGTTTGTTTAGCCATACAGAGTCCGAAAAACATCTTAGAGATGAAAACAAATAAAGCTATATCATATTACATTTTGGTTATATATTTACTATTATTTTTCCCATATTTGTATCCCCCCCATCCCTGAAAATGCTTCATTTGAGTTGATGACGTTCTTGAAACGACAATCTTTTGCGTGTAGAAACCAATAATTCATATGCACTAAAACTTCAAAAAAGATAAAAGAGATAAAAGCATAACAATAGAAAAGAAAACAAAAACAAGTCGCTCTATTACACGGCCAAACTTTCTGTACTAAAAATCAGGCTTTCATTATGTAAAAATATCTTTTTGATTTTATATATTTATATATATATATATATATATATTTCGAATTTCAAAGAACTAACTGTGTCCTAGTCTGTTTTCTTCACAGATTAATATCTTCCCCTTATTCACCCGTAATGTCAGACCACATTAAACATCGAACAAACCCTGAAATAAAACATGGGAAGAGGCATTACCTTTTCTATGCCTATTATATGCATATAATTTCTAAGTTTATAGTAATTCTAAGGGAATTTGGTGACATTTTAATGTGTTATTTGTAGTCATATAAACACGTCAGGACATCGTGCAAATTAATAGTCTCTCGATTTAGTCTATCTACAATTGGCATAGTGCAATATCAAACCAGTCGTAAGACTACCATGAAATCTTTATTTCGCTGTTATCAAAGTCTAAAGCTTTGGTTTTCGAAGCTATATTTATGTATCTTGCGAATAAAAATGTGGATATTAATTTTTTACTCATTAGTCGTCAAGGGTTGTCCTTGTGGTTTTCTCAGATATACAAATGATTTTAGTATGACGTTAACGATAAGAAAAATAGCATTCACATAAGTCATTTTCATTGGTGTGTAATTATATACAAATATAAACTTTAATCGAGAACATTTTATGTCATTCAACTTATGCTATTTTTCAGTCTTAATTCCGATAATACGGTTTTAATTACTTTTGTATGAACGACTATTTTTCTTTTCAGAATTATTAAAGAATGTTTCAGGTATTGAAAAAAAAAACAGATATAGAGCTTAGGCATTTTTTTCTTGTTCTAGAAAGATGAACAAATCAACCGAAGAGGGTCTAAGATGTTTTCAACAGTTTGTAAAGTGAATTTTGACAGACATTTTTGTTCGCTTTAAAATTTCACAACATTTTTTTAAAATTTCCTTGTTTAATATTGTCTTTCTTATTCCCAAGGCTTTCAACGCTTTAGAAGAACTCCTTGCCCAGAACAAGATATGTATTGCAGTGAAAGAGAAGCTTACTAAAGACTCGGGAGTAGCTTCCGAAGGTGTTTATGACAAGATTGTTCGCAACTTATTGTCAAACCAGCGAGCCCGAGGTAAAACTAAGCATGGTTTAATTTTTAAAAAAGTTGATAAATATAGCGGAAAAAGTTAAATTCTAAATATAGTTTGTTTCACATGTGAATTTTTATGATTTTTTAGTTTATTTAAGTTATTTCGTTTTAGAACACATCTTGAAAACAAATGAAACTTATGGCGTCAGCCATCACATAACGTTTTCAATTAACAATCTCATTTTATGCATCGCCGTCCGTTTTAACCCTGTTTGCACATAGTCATAAAGTAATACAAATTTAAAATACTTTAACTTCTGTATATTTGGTCGAGAGTGTGAAGAGACGAGTCAACTCTACACATTTCTCAGTTGTGAAAATCTTAGTTAGCACATTCATTTAGAAGTAATGAATTTGAAGTCATCCGATGAAATTTAGGAAAAAAAAACACTCAGTAATATATAATTGAACTTCTTTCATAGTAGAGAAATGAAATCACTTGGTCGTAAGTGCAAATCATTCAGCTAAGTAAAATCATTCGATAATAGTTAAATAAAATAGTAATGGATAAATAAAATCACTTGGTAATAGTTAGTAAAATCACTGGTAATGAATAAATAAAATCACTTAGTAATAATTAGTAAAATCACTTCGTAAAAGTTAGTAAAATCACTTAGTAGTAATTAGTAAAATCACTTGGTAAAAGTTAGTAAAATCACTTAGTAGTAATTAGTAAAATCACTTGGTAAAAGTTAGTAAAATCACTTAGTAATAATTAGTAAAATCACTGGTAAATATAAATAAAATCGCTTGGTAATAGTTAGTAAAATCACTTGGTAATGAATAAATAAAATCACTTGGTAATAGTTAGTAAAATCGCTTGGTAATAAATAAATAAAATCACTTGGTAATAGTTAGTAAAATCACTGGTAAATATAAATAAAATCACTTAGTAATAATTAGTAAAATCACTTGGTAATGAATAAATAAAATCACTTGGTAATAGTTAGTAAAATCACTTGGTAATAAATAAATAAATAAAATCACGATGATTTTATGTAACGTTATGAGTTTTAGTTTTTACTTGTGTAATTTTAAAGTTCTTCGAAATATGGGAAGAAAGGCAGGTGTGAGAAGTGAAACTACAAGCTGCAGCAAATCTATTTCACAATGTGCCTAAGATAAAGTTTGAGCTTGTCTAATCCAAACTATAAAAGCTTCATATTAATCTTGAGGCATAACACATCCTATTATATGTAAATCACTTTGTTACTATAAATTTGTCACTAGGATACATTCCTGTTGCTCAATAATATTGTTTACTACGTTAACTTTATTTCCAGAATTTAATTACAAAACGAGAGGAACTTTAGTATTCTATTTCATAGACACCTATTCCAAAGAATTTTCTGTTTATGATGCACTATGTGTTATAGATAACATTAACTCTTTACTTTGTAAACATGTATTTCAAGGAATTTTCTGTTTGTGATGTATTATGGGTTAGAAAGAACTTTGGCTCTCTATTTAATAGTGTTATGATCCCATCTTACCGTAATGTATAATATTTAAAACAAAAAATGGCAACTCTGTAATTTTGTAGTTTTAAAGATATATTATATAACATACAAAAATATATAAATATAAAAAATACTTATATACAATAATTTACAAAAGGGCACAATAAAAAATCACGCTTTCTATGTATATCCACGTAGGAACTGTCTCTCTCATTCAACGTAATCATATGGGGGAAATGTTATTAAATTGGAAAGAAAATTGGCTGGAGAGTAGAAAACAGAGAGTAGTAATAAATGGAGTTAGATATGACTGGATCAAAGTTACAAGAGATGTGCCTCAGGGCTCTAGCTGAGTTCTCTGCTGTTTGTGATTTATATTAATGATATTGACTCTGGAATGACTAACACAAGATTGAAGTTTGCAAATGACATTAAGATTTTGGGGATGACTAACTGTATCAGAGGTGCTGCAGAATTGCATGGAAATTTAGATCATTTGATGCATTGGGCTAATACGTGGCAGATGATGTTTAACTATCCATGTAGGTGTTCATTATTGTTATGATTTAAATGGGAATACATTAAATACTGTGGTTGAAGAAAAAGCTCTTGGTGTTGTGATAGAAAAAAATCACTTA